TGGACTGCCCAGGATGGAACGGGTGGTTCTCCAGGGTCGGAGGGAAGGACTGCTCAGCGCAGCCAGCCCGGCCTGTGTGTTCACCGCACGCTCCACAGTGCGGGAGAGACCACGGCAGCCCCCAGCGCAGGGGGAACTTCCAAAGGAAGGCCCCATGTCTTCCTCAGCGTTCTACCCCCACAAATACCAGAATAATATGTTGGGTAATAAATGATCTCTGCTATTGGTGACCGAGACTGTTTCTTTTCCCTGGGGCTCATGAGGAAAAAGGAAGGCTCTAACTCAGGCGACGTCTTAGAGCTTATAGAGGTGAGAAACCCACTCAGACGTGAGAGCAAGGTCTATCAAGGGGCACCAGGACAGTCTCGCCGATCCAGGAACCCAAATCCGACCAGGCCTCCTGGAAAACATGTGGGAGGCAGCTGGGAACACCATGCTCTCCCTTCTCTTGGCAGCTTCCTGGATCCTCGGCCACAAGCTGAGCTGCTCCTGGGTCCCGCCTGAGGTCAGGGCAGACTCTGTTGGAACATCCCCTGATGCTTCTGCTCCAGAGCCCGGCACTTCCAGTTATGGTATCTGTGTCCTGGGGCAGATTCTTCTTAAGACTTAGAAACTGATTCTCCAGTTCGATTTTCCACCTGATTGCAACTAGCTGTGGAACGGCAGGTAGGATCACACAGCCCAAGCATAGGCCCTGTCGGTGCTGGACAGACACGCCTACCCAAACACGCCTACCTGAGTGAGAAGGGGGCATTATCGATAGAGGGTCCAGACTTTCTGCTGTTCAGTAAGGCAGACTTGATCCCCAGGGAAAAAGGAACTGACAGCTGTAAGGCACAGTCTCTAGTCCTAAGAAGGTGAGCGCATATATTAGAGGATTAAACATTTCAATTAAAAGACAATTCACGTTTCTTATAAATATAAGTTTATATACACACACACACGCACACATAGATTTAAAGACACTATTTTTGTTTTGCTTTCATTTGTGTCCTCAATGCTGAACGTCTACTAGAATTACATCACCACCGTGGTTATTTAAATAAGAAACAAAACCCTGTCACAAACTCTATGCCTTAGAAAAAAACTTCCTCTAGTGTTCAAGAGTAAATAACACGCCCAGAACGAGCCCGGGAAATAAATGACAAAGCCCATCTTACTTACAGGAGGAAAGAATCATGGCTACACGTCTGCAGGGAGGACACAAAACAGTCTTGTTCTTCTGCGGTGCTCCGCTCACAAAAACACATCTTTCAACTGCAATCATAGTTCGCCCAAGATGTTTCTCATCACAGGCAAAGATAACCCCACCTATTTTCCTGTTCTAAAAACCTCAGAGGAGTGTGTGAATGACAACCAGTAGCCTATATAAGAAAGCGCGACAATCTGCATCCAAATCTCTGAGGGTGTATGCTATGAGTTCCTCATTCCCAAACGTGTGGGTGACTTGCAAACAACATTTTCAAGAAATCACAACATTTTGGTAAAAGGGACCTTAAACACCATCAAGTCAAACTGCCCTCTCGGGACAGGAAAGGAAATGAAGGCACAGATAGAATAAGGGACTTGCCCAAGGCCACACAGTGAGGGGCAGGAACAGAATTAGATTCTAGGCTTTGGAATATGAAGTCCAGAATGTTCCATCGTCCCACTCGGTATTTTTTTTTTTTTTGAGACAGAGTCTCACTCTGTTGCCCAGGCTGGAGTGCCGTGGCGTCAGCCTAGCTCACAGCAACTTCTCACTCCTGGGCTCAAGCAATCCTCCCGCCTCGGCCTCCCAGAGTGCTAGGATTACAGGCATGAGCCACCACGCCCGGCCGTCCCACTCGGTATTGACACTTCAGGGACCTTATTTGGGGAGAACAATCTAAGAATACACCTAAAAGGTGATTGGAGCATGGCTGAGAAATACAAAAACAACAACATCAACAATATGAAACACATTTGGGAGTTTCACTTCATCCCATAAGGAAAATATAACCAAAATTTAACTATTGGCGGGGTGCGGTGGCTCACA